TTTATGTATGCATATGTAAAACATTTATGACAGACCTACTAACCTATTATAATGATGATAGACGAGATAAAAAAAACTTGATTTGTGCCCTAATGAGTTTGTGATCTGGTGGGTTATTTAAAACTAATGTCAATTTCTCAACAATGAGCCAGTTTAAAAAAAATGTAAGATCGTCCGTTACTGACTGTAAATCCATAGCAATGCAGGGTCTGTGGAGAAGCTGCAATGGGAAGATGTCAGCAGTTGGATTTGGGGGGATGAGGAGGACTGTGTTCCAGGTGGGGACTTTGGGAAGGGACATGAACCCTCTGTTATGAGGTAGTCCGTACCTGATTGGAACAGAAGACATATTAAAGAAATAAGATCCAGGGACCATGGTCAGAAAGTGGAGTGACAGCCTTGTTACAGAGACTTGGGACTTGCTGGAGAAGAGATTTAAGCAGTTACTTTGTCCTAGAAAAAGGCATGTTTCAGAAAATTAGTTGGGCTGAATTATACAGCAAGATGAAAGATAAGGAGAGCAGTTTGTGGTTATTTTGCTGTAATCTGAATATGAAATGTTGAAATCCTCGTGAGGATTAAAGTTATATAATCATTGCATGTGGAATTCTAATTTACAGACGGTTAGAAGGACACAGAATAAATTCATTGCCAATTAAATAATGCCTTCCTCAAATAATTTGAGATTGCTTTTGGGCTATAAAGGTAACTTCTCAAAATACGTTATCTGAAATACTAATGGTTCTTATTTTTGGTTTTTGGAATCTGTTGCACAAATCAGAATTGCAATGCTGCTGAAGGATGTTAGGTAGAACAGGGTTAACCTTTGGTCAGATACACTTTGTTTAGGAAAACTGAGTCCTTGATGGGACTTTGGAGACCTGACTTCGCAAACGGAGTAAGCACAGCTCACCTGGGTATCGCACACGCTCACATCCAAATGGAAGACAAGCCATAATTTAGGACTAGATTGAGCCTGTTTATGCTCCAAAATGAATTTAAATGATGAGGCTATGAATGTAGTGAGAAGCAAGGAAATGAAATTGACAGATAGTAGCTTTCATTTTGAATTTCAGATTACTGGCTTTCTATTAGCATACTCCGGGAGTAGCGAATTCCTATTAAGTTGGCACATAGATTTAAATTTTATGAATATGCTATTGTAGGTATAAAAACTCATTTCAGTGAGCTATGGACATGGTGACTTCTTTCCTAAATCAGGAAGCTGTAGGCTATATATTATTAGTCTAAACTTGTCACCCTGAAAGCCTGCAGGCTGTGGAACTTTCTTCATATATTCTTTTTGGTTTTGTTGATTTGAGTAGAACAACTGAGCGGCTCTAAAGAGAATATAATCGTTTAATTCTTATTTAATATGTGTTTAAAAATATTAAAGTGTGTTAAAAAATATTAATATGTGTTAAAAAATATAAAAAATATTAAATTTTAATAGACACTTATGCCTAGACATGAAGCGTTGTTACAACCTTTTGAAATGACGAGAATGACATTTCTGTCCCGCAGCCGTCCTAGGGGTGTTTGGCTAGAAGGCCTGGGCTCGCCGCGGCTAGAGGTCTCGCAGGCCATGTAGCACGTGAGGGCGGCGGGCACTTTGCTCTGACAGCCGCACAAAGAGCTGCCCCGCCCACCTCTGCTGCAAATAGCGGAGAACAGGTGGACATTAATCGCTTCAGCTCTGAATTTAAACGGCGATGGATCCTCTGATTGCAGCAGCGACGCGCGTTGTGGTCCCCTGGTCAGTTCCCTGAGCCGGGGCTTTGGATGGTTCTGTAGGGGACAGGGATGGGTGATATGCTGCCTCCTTATAGTCAAAGGAAGAGAAAGTGAGCTTAAAGTGAGTGACATTGATGGAGAAAAATCAACAGCAGGACTTTCCCATCACTAGGCCATGAGGCCAGGCCATCTCCAAACCCAGGGTACCACCGGGAAGAGAGCCGAATCTCCCTCACCCTCTTTTTAGACCTGGTGCTGCTGCAGGTGCCAACCAGGGTGCCTTTTACTTTCTAGGGATGTTTGAAGTGTAATCAGATGCCTCCTCTGTTTTTATATCTCAGCCTCTACTCCTGCCTGTGATGCACAAACGCACGTAAAGTTCTCGACTCCATAAAAAAGCCCTTCTCCCAGGAGGGGGCCTGAATATTAGAGGTTCCTTCCTTTATTAACAGCAGAAAATTAGGACACTCACCCCTTGGCGGCTCGTAAGGAAGCTCGTGTTACTCTGGAATGTCTTTTTGTCAGGTTTTGCTTTTTCTGTCGTGAGTGACGAATGGCTCTGGCCGATCCTGGCCCATGTCTCTTCCTCACCTCCCTGGAGAGTCTGAATTTGTGAGGTATTACTGTGTAGGATGTTTTGTCACCTTCCCTGGATGTGCAGCTTGATACCTTTCAAGAAGAAAGTCTTCTCAGAGATTAAATGAATTGCTAAGAGCTTGTTCTTAGACTTGTGCAATTACGATGCGTGGAGGAAGACAACCCAGTTATCTTTCGTTTTTTCACAGCCCCTGTTTTTCTCTCTTTCATTGTGTCTAGCCAGCATTCTGAGTTTCCACCAAAAGCAAGTGAAATATGTACTTTTTCCTTTGAACTTAAATCATTGACCAAAAAGATGTATTTTCTTTATGCAGAATTCTTTGTGGGCACAGCACACTGCGTTCATTGTGCAGACGTGCAGTGTGGCTTTGAGAGCTGTTCCTTCGACACGTGAGAGGCCGGTGTGTGTGACTGCACACTTCACTTGTTCTCCCGGCCTCTTGTCTGAGTCAGTTTGCTTGTTCCACACGGAGGAGCATGTCTCTATGACTGGGTTTTCCCCTTCAAGAAATTAATACCGTACAACCTTGCCTTGCCTTTTCCCATTGACTGTTACCTGTGTCCTCAGAAGTGGCTGAAAAGATTGATCCGCAAAGGAATGAATTAAGTCGAGTGATTTGCGCGGTGACTCTTGTCCTTCCATTTTTAGTTTTACAAGTTCCCTGTGACCTTCAGGATCCAAGGCCCTGTTCCATCTAAGTCTGCTTGTTGGCTCATACTTGGGTTGAGGTCTTTGTTCAAGGTCTCCCATTTCTTCTTCTTTTTTTTTATAATTTTTGTGTGGGAAGGGAATTAGGTTTATTCATTTATTTTCAGCGGTGGTAACTGAGGATTGAACCCAGGGCCTCGTGCACACTAGGCATGCACTCTCCCATTTCTTCTTGCTGTAGGCTAGGTCGTGTCTCTGATACGGTTGTCCCAGCATTTTTGTTTCTCACCTCAGCACTGTTTGAGTGCCATTTCTGTACATCAGTGGATGGGAACGTCAGTAAAAGAGTTTGTGTGCCTTCCTTGGTCGGCCGGCTTCGCCTGTGTAACAGGTGATTCTGTACACGGTCTAACTCAGTGCCTTTCACTGTCGTGTTAAAATGACCTCACTGCCTGACTGTTAGTTACCCAGCTTGCTTTCCTCCGGGACCTCCTGTGCTGCACTGTTACTGTGCCACTCGCTAGTCCATCGGAGCTTGACAAGGCTACTCAGAGTTTGCAACCATTGTGTCCTCAGTGCTGGGTTGCTGAGGTGGGTCTGGCTCCCGCAGGGATGCAGGTGGCCTGTGTGGAGAGAAGGCATCTGGTCTCTCCATCCTGCCACAGCGCAGGAAGGTGTGTTGCCTGGCAGCAGAATTCTGCGCACGTCAGAGCTGCTGGCGGCAGTTGGCGGTGTGAACGGGAAACGTGTGAAGTGTTTGTAGGTTTCTGGAGGACAGGCCGCGTGTCCTTGCCAACTATTGTTGTTGTGAAGGAACCCAAATCTAAATCGCGCTGTGTGGCTGGATCACTGAGCTTCGTTTATTTAAAACACGGCATTTGGAGAGAGTTAAATACCAGCACACTGTGTCTTCGCCTGGTTTTTTTTTCCCCTGAAGCAAATTTGTTGGGTGTGTTTGCCAAAGGCTTAGCAGGAGCAGGGCAGTGAAGGAGCATGTGCCTAACGTGATAGGCCTTCTTTGCCGGGTTAATTCTAACAGAAGTAATCATCTACATTGATTTATAAGAGTGGGATTGAGTGGGGACATTGATTCAAAATAAGAGAACGGCTGTGAACAGTTTGATTTATGAGGGTATGAAAGCAGATGATTCAGATTTCACTTTGTTCGATCTAAGGTGGCTGGCCCAGGGGTTAGTTGTCAAAGTACATTCAGCAAAGAGCAGTCGGTTTCGCGATGAGAAACACACCCCTGATAGATAGAAGTATAATTTACTCCGTTGAGGCCAGGACCACATTGTGTGCTCAATACGTGCGTGCCAGGCTGCTAGCTACGTATCTGTGGGAGAGGATTGCTTTGGAGTGAGATAAATAACCTTATCAGACGCTCACAGAACAAGAATATGAGTGCAGGGAGTGATCAGAGGGCTTGCAAATAGCTGCAAGCTGATTTTCAGAGCTGTGGCCACTCGTTTTGCAAGGCACCTTTCCCGTTTAAGAGAATGAAACTCGGCTCTCCCGGGGAGTGGAGTGTCCTCAGGGCTCAGTTATGATGGGGGAAAAAAAAGAAGCCTTTTTGTTGGCACGTGCGGCCCCTCCTCCGGTGATCATGGCGACTTTGCTGTGCTTCCTGGAAGCCATTGTTGGGCTCCCCAGACCCCCTTCGGAGTTTTCCCCTCGGGTCTCCCAAACCCCTCTCTGATTCCGTGATCACAGCACAGGTCCTGAAACCGTCAGCTACTCAAGGCCACGGTCCAAGTCCTTCCCAGCAGGTAGCAGCTGGATACGGACACCACACACTGAGGAAGCGATGTGTTTCAGTGTCAGCTGGGTCCCAAGAGTTTGTCTAAGGAATACAGGTGCCCTCAGGAAACATCCATTTTTTTAATCTGATCCATCATCACCAACTCAGTTCTGCTTCTGATTTCCCCGTCTCTGACTTGGCGGGGCTGGGCCAGACGGTCATCAGGGATGTTACAAGGCTTGGTGACGTGTTTGATTTGAGCCCCCAAGGTCACAGACTGTCTCTGTGATCATTATTTCTGACTGACCATGTGTGTCTCTGCAGGGAGCATGACCTCGGCAACTTCGCCTATCATATTAAAATGGGACCCCAAAAGTTTGGAAATCCGGACACTGACCGTGGAGAGGCTCTTGGAGCCGCTTGTCACACAGGTAAGAGCTGCTTTGAAACGCTTTGTGACGTGTGTGTTTCTACTGGGATTGTATCATGACTTCCCAGAGAACTTAGAGATCCTTCAGAGTGAGTAAATCCCGCTATGACGCTGATCACTGAGTATGCGTTCCGGCCTGAGCTGTGGACAGTTTTTTTTTTTTTTTCCGCCCAGTAAAGTTTGCAGTGCCTTTGAAGAAAACTCTTCATGGGACTTTTGAAATTAAGTTGATGAGATAATTAAGGGGGTGCTTTGCTGAAGGGCACTCTCATTTGCAGTAATGGATTCGCAGTCTAAATAAACCGTCCTGCCTTACTTTCAGATGCTAATGCAGTCAGGAAGAACTGCACTGACGATTTAAGAGCAAGGTGTATTTACTGAGTTACTTTTTTCTTTGGTTTACCAGGGGAAATCCATCATTTTGAAATGATGAAAGGTTCCACTTTCGTGTTGTCACAGTTGTCACATTTCCGCAAGACGGCTGTTAGCAGGGAAACACTCTTAGGATTTTTGAAGTTGTAAAACCTAATTTTTGCATCTTGTGAAGCATATTCTTTGCTGTATTAACTAAGAATTCCATGGAATGTGAAAAGTCAAGATTGTTTCATGGCGTACGTATAGAGAAGTATGATGTCAAATCAAGTAGGGGGCACCGAGGTTGGTTTCTTCCAGCTGCTGTGGCAAATTACCGTAAACGTAGTGGCTGGAAGCCTCCCCGGTTTATTACCTCGTGGTTCTAGAGGTCAGGACTCCTGACGTCAGGGTGTTGGCAGAGGTGTGCTCGTTTTGGAGGCTTTTGCAGAAAATCTTTTTTTTTTTTTTTTTTTTTTTTTTTTTTGCCTTTTCCATGTTCTAAAGGCTGCTCCCTTCTCAGCCCCTTCCTCCCTGTTGGAAGCCAGCAGTGTGGCGTCCTCAGATCTCTCTCTGACTCTGCCCTCTGCTCCTGCCCTCGCATCAGCCTGTCTCCCTCTTATAAGGACCCTTAGGATTACATTGCGCCCACTCGGATACTTGAGAATAATCTGATCTCGAGAGCCGTGACCAGATCACATCTGAAGAGGCTCTTCTGGCATTTAAGGGGACATACCGAGTTTCCAGGAATTAGAACATGCACATCTTTGGGGGTCGTTGTTCAGCTCGCCATAGTCCCCGCTCCGGCCACCCTCCGCTACAGTTCACGTCCTTCCTACACAAAACACGTTCACTGCGTCTCGAGAGCCTCAGTAGACTCAGCCCATTACAGTATCATCTCAAGACCAAAACCCCGCCTGAAATTCATCAGTTTTTAAATTCCAAATCTCATCCTCTAAACCGTCTAAATTAGGTATGGGTAAGATTCTAGTTATAAGCCATCCTCAAGCAAAATTTCTCACCATCTATGTACCTGTGAAAATAAGAAAACAAACATTATGTTCTCAAAATGCATTAGTGGCCCAGGCATAAGGTAACATTTCTAGGCATTTTTATTAAAAGGTGAGAAGGGAAGGAAAAAAGAGTAACTGACCTCAAGCAATTTAGAGAGCCAGCGAGGCACTAGGACTTCAGTGCCCGGGAATAAACTGTGGTTCGAGGCTCTTCTGCCCTCCAGGCCTGGTTCTTCACCCAAGAAATCCCTTTTTCATGAAGGACAGCACATATTCTCAGCTGAGTCTTTTTTTTTTATCAGCCCTGCCTGTATAATTTTGAGAGTCCAACAGTTTATTTGAATTTCATCTTTCTCTGGGTTTTTTTCACTCCACATTGGCAGTGTTTGTACTGATAACAACAGTCTTAAGAAACTTGTGGTTCTCTCTTGTAATGTCTCTGGGGCTCCCCCTGTGAGAACACAGGCTGCTTCTCCGGTCTTTCCTGGATAAGCTCGTCTCCGTGCTTGGCCTCTGTGAAACGACTGAGGGGTCCATGAACCCCATGCCTGATCTCATCAAGGGCTCCCTGGGTCTCCATCCTCCCAGGGCACAAGCTGAAGGTTTCATAGGTGCACAGTTGACTTTTTCTGCAGAGCACACTTTCCTGAAAGCAAGTCCTCTAATTGTAGCATCTCTTATAGTCTGCTAGGCAAGTCATCACGTCCTCTTTTTTTTTTTTTTTTTTTTTAGCTTAACAGTTCTATCTCCATTTGCTTCATTTCTCTCACACGTTGCTATAAGCAAGAAACCAGGCCACGTCTTCAGCACTTGGCTTGGAAATTTCCTCAGTTGAGTATCCATCACTTATGATTCTGATTTCTGCATAACTGTAGGAAACAATTCAGCCAAGCTTCCTGCCAGCCGATAGCAAACACACCTTTTCCTCCAATTTCCAACGACACGTTCCTCGTGTCCTGAGCCCTCACCAGCATCTCCTTTCACAGTCTGTTCGTAATGATTGATATTCTCAAAGACGATAAAGGATTTCTCTGCCACGCTCCTCACCTCCTTCTGAGTCCCCACCAGCTGGGCCTTTAACATCCGTATTTTTGGTAGCAGTCTGTTCAAAGCAGTCTAGGGCTTTCCTATTATACTCCTCAAAATTTTTCCAGCCTCTGTCCATTATTAGTTCCAAAGCGACTTCCACATTTTTAGGTATTTGTTACAGCAGCACTGCACCCTGGAACCCAAATCTGTGTTTCCAGTTGCTGCTGTAACAAATTACCACAATCTCAGTCGCTTGAAACAGCACACACTTATCATCAGACGATTCTTCGGGTCAGAAGCCCTGAAATCAAGGTGCCGGCAGGGCTGTGCTCCTTAGGGAGGAAGGTCCTTCCCGCTGTTAGCATCTGGAGGGCGCCTGCGTTCCCTGCTTGTGGCGGTTTCCCCTGTCCGCGAAGCCAGCGGCAGGGCACCCTCACATCTCCGCCTCTGACTGCAGCCTCTTCCAGCACATCTCCTCTGACTTCAGCCCTCCTGCCTCACTCTTAAAAGAACCCTGGTGATTGTACTGGGGCCAGCCAGATACTCTAAAATAACCTCTCCATCTTGAGACCTTTAACCTCATCACGTCTGCAGAGTCCCTTCGGCCGTATGAGAGGGCATATCCACAAGTCCTAGGATTGGGAAGCAGACGTCTCTGTTTGGGGCTGTTGAAACGTTTTGTGAGATGTGAGCCCCCTTCCACTGGGCCATGCTTGTTAGCACTGTGCAACTTTCTTCAGGAAACACCTCATACGGAGGGGCTTTTAGATTTGGGAGCACGTTGGCTACTGAGATTGTGGTCTGTGGACGAAGGCTGATCCATGAATAATTTGTTACTGGTCTGCAGTAAGCACAGAAATTGAGAGTAAGTGCTTTGAAAAATTCATGGCCATTTTACGGAGTAATGTTATGTCTGTGGAATCTAGTAAGAAATTTGGGGCTTATTTAATATTTAAAGTTTTTTGAATTATTAATTTTGTTGTACTGTACAGAAGCTTTGGTCTGTGACCTTTTGGAGTAACAAATACGTGGCCTGTTATCACAGATAGCTTGAGAAGGGCTGGTTTAGGAGACGTCTTGGAGTCAGTCTGCTTGGAATGCAGTTCTCTCAGCTGAGATATAAAAAGCAGGTCGCCTTTTCCAAGCCTTGGGGTTTGTACTTCTGGGTACATATCGATACATTTAACCCTTATCGTACGGATGAAATGAAACAGTAATTAGAACATGGTGCCTGGTGTAAAGGAAATGTTGGTTAAATGTAGTCGCCATTTTTCTTTTTTTGATGGAAAATACATTCAGGCTCATAGTAGCCATTAACCAGTACGGTATAAGCCAGTGAGAAGGCGTGGGTGAATCCAGCGTGGACAGGCACAGTAATACACATAAACTGTCTTTTATTTCTTAAATTTTTCAGATCTTTACATTTTGCACCTGTATTTGGCTTATCTGAAGAGTAGCACTTCTACAATTAGCATTAAAAATTGGCTTTTCCACATATCTTTCAGTCCAGTTATTTAGAATTCTGTCAGATAAAGGCAATGGATTATTTACTAAAAATACGGTCAACTGCTTATTTGTATTTGTTCCCTTAATGCATTAGAACACTTGAAACACTTGTGGAATTTCACACAATGACGTAGCACTGTAACTAATCTTAACATCCTTCCAGTGTCTCCTCGTGTCTAAGCAGTTTACCTTTCTTGCTAATGTTCTTACTCTGATTTTTTTAAAAAAAAAGATTCTTTCAAAAAACGTGACTTTTAAGACAGGCTTTTCTATGTATTGTTTTCTCACGATACTATGGCTGTGTCGTCAGGACTCACCGTCGCCTCCCTTGGAGTGAAACCTTAATGATCAGACTGATGTGACGTGTGAGGAGGGCATGTGGATAAGTAAGGAGATGAGGAAATATTAGGTATAAACTCAGCCTCTACAGCAAAAGGCAGAGCTAAGCGAGAAGACTACACAAAGGCCCCCTGTGAGTCCAGCACACATAGCTTTATGACTTTAATAAAATTCATTGCAGATATTCCGTGGAACAGTCTGCCCTACAGTTCCTGATGAGGGTGGACAGGGACGAGATAAACAGCAGGAATCAAGGAGTTGTCGGTAAAATTCATTCCCCGTCATAAGAAAAATGACATTAGGAACTTACTGTCGATAACACATTTAAGTCGGTCAATAAAACTTCACCTCGTTTCAGTCATAGTGTGTATGAGGTGGCCTGTTTGTCTTCCAGTGTTGAAATGGCAAGATTTTTTTGGAGAGTTCTTACGTTATGGAAGTCATGCCATTTTGAATGAGAGAAGACTCATCTTAGCAAGTTTAGACCTTGAAAAAGATGCCTGAACTTTTTATAAATTCAGAAAAACAGATCTTTAATAGGCCCCATTCTGTGGTACTAAGCTTTATGAGGAAACAAAACAACTATATTAGGAAACTTTATTAGGAAAGTAAAAAATTTATTAGGAAATTAAACACTCCTAGATAACTCTTAAAACCAAAGGGAAATTACAAACTATATATATGAGATAATGAAAAAGATGATCCCTTCTTAATAAAATTTACACATGCAGTAAAAGCTGTGCTGAGTGAAGAATTTTAGCAT